TCCGCCTTGCCTCGCTATTGATAATATCTCGTGATGCCGAGTCTAGGTCGCCGGATATCTTGGCGCAAATCGTGTAAGGATTCCGCCGGACATTGTCTGGTCTGCCTCTGACTCGCTATGATGAGGTCTCTGGCTCGCTGGGGTGTCGGCTTCCGGTCACTAACATGGTCAGCGCCTGGCTCGCTGGGAAGTGATGCTGCCAACTTGCTGGAGGGGACGATTTGCCCCAAGCTCTCTAGGAGGGTCTGTCTCCGATACGCTAGGGGTCAGCCCCACTCGCTAAGGGGGGGGGGTCAGCCTCCCATTCGTTAGGGGGTCAGCCCCAAATCGCTGTGAGGATAAGCCCCGGTTCGCTAGGGGATCAGCCCCAGCTCGCTGGGAGGATCAGCCTCCGATTCGCTAGGGGGTCAGCCCCAAATCACTAGGAGGGTCAGCCTCCAATTCGCTCGGGGATCAGCCCCCAATCGCCAGGAGGATCCGCCTCCAATTCGCTAGGGGGTCAGCCCAACTCGCTAGGAGGATCAGCCTCCGTTTCGCTAGGGGGTCAGCCCCAACTCGCTAGGAGGATCAGCCTCCAATAACGCTAGGGGAATAGCCCCAACTCGCTAGGAGGAATCAGCCTCCGTTTCGCTAGGGGATCAGCGCAACTCGCTAGGAGGTTCAGTCTCCAATTCGCTATGGGGTCGGCCCCGAATCTCTAGGAGGATCGGCCTCCAATTCGCTAGAAGATCGGCTCCAACTCTCTAGGAGGATCGGCCCACAATTCGCTATGGGTCAGCCCTAATTCGCCAAGTGGTCAGCCACAAATCGTTGGGGGGTCCGCCTTCAAGGGGATCAGCCCCACTCGTTAGGGGACATCTGCTTCTACCCGTTAAGGAATCCGCCCTTGCTCGCTAGGAGGGTCAGTCTCCCCTTCGCTATGGAATCGGCCCCAACCCTCTAAGGGTGTCGACTTCTAACTCTCTAGGTGAAACCTGCCGCCGTCGCTAAGGGAGGGGTGACCTCAAACGCTAGGTGGCAGCAGCTCCCGAAGGAAACGCGAAGGGGGTCGACTTTCGTCACGCATAAGAGTACCGCCAAAGGTTACTCCCTAATCCCTAAGGTGGTCAAGTGGAGCGTTACTGCGTGTCTCGGTTTCGCGTCGCTGAGAGAAATTCGGCCGCCGCGTCGCTAGGGTTGGGGGTCGTGGGGGTTCGGTCTCTGCCTCTACGCGCGACATATTATGTCCAAATTCGTCGAGCAGAGTGCGTTTATCTTCGCTGCCGGTGTACTTCCTCGCCAAACGGAAACGTAATCCTTCTCGCGTTGCCGAGTTCGCATTGCGTCGCGTTTTGGGATCCGAGTGCACGGGTGCGCGCTGCCGTGATCTTTACCCCCTGGTCTCTCGCTCTAACCACTCACCGGTCTGTCTGGGGGATTCATCTCCTCCCCGTCGCGTTCAATCACGCGCCTCGCCGGTGCCGACTACAAGCAAGTCAAACAAGGTCGGAAAGTCAGATGCGATGAACTTGGTCCGGCTCTGAGACGGGTTCTCTGCCTTCGCTTCATTGCAATGAACCATTCACAAGGATGACTTGTCGCTCTTCTAGGTGTGTCTAACTGGTCCGTCGGTCGCTGCTTGTTATGATGGGTCGGTTGACCCAGTATGCTTGCATGCTTTCCTTATCAGCCATTGCTCAAAACTAGCACGAATTAAGATGACAAAGACGCTATTAGTCGCTTAAATCCCGACGAAGGCAAGGAGCGCCTTCAGTCGCGCCTTCTCTCAGCCGGTCAACCCGCCGACACCGCTCTTGCGGCCCAGATGCCGATGACTGGGCAAAGGCTGGCCAATAAGGAAACAAATTTCATACCTCGTTTTCCATTACTGGGTACGCTTCGTTGTTTCTTGGCTCCGGTGGGTCGGTGTAGTTTGGCTGGCTCTTGGTTGTCTCTACTCGCTACCTTAGCGAAGAGACGTTAAAATGATATTGAGAGAGAGGGACTGAGTTGTGCAGATGCTCGGTATGTTGGAGTTCACTTGCTGTCGTACCACCGTTGTTGCGAGCATTTAAGTCTTTGCGAGACATCGCCGGAAAAAAATATCTTGGCCTTGTATATCGGAAGATACTACATATGCCGAAAAGGTACTACATAAGCGCTGTGCTACTTCCACCACAACCGAAGCTGTGTGGCCAAAGAAGTGGTTTGAAAGGGGGGAAAAGCACCGACTAGAAGCTGATCTCCAACGGCCGACTCGCCTGTCACTATTCCTCTGCTATACCTTCGTACGCAGCACAACCACCGTACATCAAGTTCTAGCCCTAAGTTATAACCCACCTGGCCCACCTAGGCTCCTCAAAGCCGGAAGAACAAAACTTCTGCCGCCGCGATACCTGCTGTCGCCATTATATCAGAATACCCAATCGAGTGTCTCTCTAACCTACAAGACCTCCATGGCCTTCCTATCCTTCGTCAACCTGCCAGCAGGTGTAATGTCGTCATGACCTGCATCCCGGCCTGACGTCCCCTGCCTTGTAAAGGTCAATTTCGAGCCTGGTGCCGCTCCACATCAGGGGCCTCCCCTCCGGGCGGTTACTGACTGCAGCACCGCCAAAACATGCATATTCCACTGCGCCATGAGCCCCTCCCAATCCACCCACCTCCTGGCACCTAACCAATACTAGCCACGTACCCAGTCATCTACGCGCTCCCACGCACAGGTCTATCCAGGGGCACCGCAACGTCTTCCGACCTGAACAAACTCCCAAACGCGCAAACCCCATGCAATCGCTTCGAACAAATGCCAAAAGGACCGCGTATAACGAGCTACCTGCCTACAGGGTATCTTCCCCGATTGGGACCCCCCCCCTACAAGTCCTACAACTCCTGCATGCTCATTTGACTCGGCTAGGCGACGAGGCTACAGCCCTTTACCATCAAAATTGCCAGCAAGAGCTTATCCAGGTAACGCAACCAGAGTAACATTAAAAAACAGGAAGCTTGCCGCCAGCATCAGCATCCGCGCTAGTTCACCTCTTCACGGTGCATTTGTTGAAGAACTCCTGCCCCCTTCGCCGCCAAACATCACAAAACAAGAGAAGAATGCCAGGTGCTAAGACGACAAAAGGCATTAAGGCATAGCCGTATGAGATAAGACAGACAGGTACACATACATACAGACAGGTAAAACAGAGACGAGCAGAGAAGACCGACCCACCGAAAAGCCTACTTTCGCGGCACTTACGACCGGGGCGACGAGGGCGCATTCTCGGCGATTGCGGCAGCCATGTGAACCACCTCCCGCCGTTTCCTTGCCTCCCTTCGTTTTCAAGGTTACCACCCGGGTGTGGGGGTGGCCTATTTAAGCAACGGCAGCCGCGGAAGAGCCCACCATCCTGTTCCGCACAACGGTGCTGCTGGCGGTGCTCGAGCTGCTGCCGCCGTTGGGCCCATTTCGTTGAGTCAGCAAACAGGCTGTCGCTACCGCCGCCAGTACGGCAGCTCCCGCCGTTGTCGTGAAGAACGGCGGACCACCGACACCGACACCGCAGCTGCCAGTGGCGCCGTGCATTTGGCAACCACAGAGCGTTACACCTTCTGGATGGGGTGTGTGGGTACGCCCTGGTTTTCCAGAGGGCATGCGGGCAGGGTTGCGGGGTTGTGCGGTGGGGGTGATTTGTGGGGTGCTGGCCAAGGGCGTTATTGCACCATACTAACTACCAACTACCAACACCAGCAACGTACATAAGAGATGTGGCCCCCTTCAGGGGCAACATCTCCTATATATAGATATTCGCACCATCAGTAATAGCATTCCTTGTTACCTGTGAAAAACCTCTCTGTGCGGTGGTCAGGCTGTGTCCTTTGCGTAATGTGGTTCTAGCCGACTTGCCAGCCGTAATCTTGTTGGTATGGTGAAATAGTAATAATCCGTGCTCCGTACTGCTGCAATGCCGTACTCACCATGTCCGCGATGAACATCTTTTCGTTGCGATGAGTGCGTAGCATGTCGCGACGGCGGCGCCCCCGTGGCGGTGGTGGTGGTGCTGCTGCCACATCGTCCAGGCAGGCTGAAGGTGCTACTGCAGCAAGAGCCGGCGGCTGTTGCTGCAGCCGGATTCATCTGGTGTAGTGTTGCTGCTCCTGCTCCACTTGCCGTCCCCTCCGCCCCTCCACCTCCGCCTCCAGCTGACATCTCCTCCACCTCCACGTACTTGAGGGTGGACAGAAACGTGTCCAGGTCAGCTGCTGCGGCAAACACCTGGGTGATGGGGTGGAGGGGGAGGGGGAAATCTGCAACTCCCCTCCTCTTGGCTGTTCGTAGTGTAACTATTTGCCCAAGTAAAACCCACTTCAGCCTCCCCAGACCCTCCCCAGGCCCCTAGGGCCCCCCCTCTCGTCGCACCATGTGCACCGGGCCCCACTCCAACGCATGCGCTGATCTGTGGCAGCGCAATGCCTTGGGGAGACCCCGCAGCGAGTAGAGAAACTGGGATCCATGGAGAAGCTGAAGCCTGAGAGGGAACAGCGCGTGGGCGGGGAGGTGGGAAGATGAGAGGGGAGTTGGGCTACAAAGGACGCGGGGGAAAGGGGAACGAGAGGGGTGCGGGCGAAGCAGGCGTGGGGGTTGGCGACGCCTCGTCACCAGTCAAGGAGGTTTGATATGGGGGGGAATCCATTGCCGCCGATCTGTGAAAATGTGGCAGTGCTCCAAAGCTTTGTACAAAAACGCAAAGTCGGCGATTTCTTACTGCGGTATGCGGGATGGGTTTCTAGGGCCTGGCTGCGGCTCTGCGGGATTGCCGTGAGCACTGGCAGCTGCTGTGCTGCTGTGCTACTGCTCCCTAATCCCGAAATGCTGCCACAGCTGGCGCATTGGAAACCACTCCGTTAGTATAACCCGATCTTATGTGTGGAAAGCAATTCAGCTCTGCTTCATTTTCGCAGGTGGACAGAGTTGACCATGACCACCACAGAGCACCCACAACAGGAGGGGCGGAGTACAGAATACAGACACACAATGACGCGCATAGAAATAAAAGCCCACAGCACGCAAGCTTTACGTAGTATGCTTACCTGTATGATATACAGCCGGGTCGTCTGCAGCTAAATTTGGCGGACGGCGGCTCGTACTTGAAACTCAGTTGCTGGTCCGTGCCGCGTGGCAAAAGAGTGTAGCCTTCAGGCAAGATACGTACCAAAAGGTGCACCATGACATGGGATGGGTAAGAGGGAAAAGGACGAAGGGAAGGCATTCCGGTCCTAAATGTCGACTGGCCTCGAAAACCAGGGAATTGTACCAGTGACCGTATGTTTGCATCCGCAGGAGCAAGCTAAGATTAATCCTACATCAAGTAAATTGGGCTCCTACAAGACAACCCGCTGTCCAAAGGGCGAAAAAGGGGATGACACGGGACGCACAAGTTTCCCACGAAGGTGTGTATGTGTGTGTATGTGAGGGCATGTACAGGTGCCCGCGTGCCTGCAGAGTCTGGGCTCTAAACAGGGGACACGCTCTGGGACAGAGAAAAGACATGTCTTGGATCTGGGTCATATTGTGCCAGAACGTTCTCGGCCTGGGAACAATGCACCCGCGAGTTGGTAGGACTCGTGCGACAACCCACCTGAGCAAGAACGTGAGACGCTGGCCAGGAAGCCTTCGCAAGTAATTGCGGGCCTAAATCCAGACACGGCCTTGCTTAACCCGCGAACAACGAAAACTTCATGGGACGAGCTGAATATACCCTCGTTGGTCATGCTGGAATCCATGCAGTCATCGTCATCATCGTTGCAGTCGTCCGAATCAATAAGAATTTCAATTACTCCCTCAACATCGTCGAGGTCGAGGTCCAGCACGCCGTGGGTCGCCTTCCCTAAGGTTGTGCACAATATACAGGTCATGTCCCTCACAAATTGCAAGGTTTAAGGATGAAGCGGCGAGTCGGCATTTGCAAGTGAACCAGCGGATTGTGTTCAAGGATGTGCCGCTATCAGGCAGTTCGTCCCCGGCCACATGACGAAGCTTCGGCCTTTCTGGAAGGCAAAAACGTTGGTGCCCACCCGGTTTTCCGCCGGCCGAATGGTTGGCGCGCTGTGGCATGACCGCCTGCGACTTAACTATCAGTAAAAACTTGGACCCGTTTCTCTGGGCTTATGAAAATCTGGTTCAAATCTAAAGACTACACTGAACTGCAGGTTATGCCTAGGTTTATGCCTGCAGCATAAGCTCGCTCCTATGCCAGTTTTGGCCTATAGCGATGGCACCAACGGCAAGGCAGCTGCAATATGCGCAATGCAAGCTGAGAGTTAACGTGTCTGACATCCTGTTTATGAATAGAAACCCTGCTTCATAGGAAAGTAGCTCAGGTGGTACGGCACAACGTACCCAAATTGACTGGAATATAACTAACCTAAATAACCGCTAATTGTCTTTGGAAAAAACAAGTTCACTAGTAGCTCTGATATTTTGTGCAACCTTATGCCATGAGTGGATGTCTTGCATACCGAGGTTTTAATTGGATATGTAACTGGTCACGCGCGACACTCCTCCCGGCTACAAGCTCAATGCTATCTTTTTAATTTTTTCCGAAAGGATGAAACTAGGGAGATATTGCATGGAGCTTTTGACTGCGCCACTTGCCCCTAAACCATGGGCTCGTTGTATCGTTGCGAAGAAAAAATGTATAGGTTTCTGCATTACATGCAATTATACACTCTGAAGCATGTCGGATGAGTCGGCGTGATCGCCGTTGTGCTATATATGCCAAGCGAAGCAGTCGGGCGCCTTCGGCGTGCAACTGAAAGCTCGGAATGCCTGCCAAATCTTTCCTTCCCCATGCCTTATTTTGTCACTCTGTGGAAACACACAAACTTACATACATTTGACACAGTTGCTGCACCCCGCGGCATGCCGGTAGCAGACCCAAAGCATTGTTTGTAAAAGAAAACGCCTTCAAGATGAAGACCTCGAGAAGCTCACACGGCCCCGACGCACGCGATTCCCCTCGCTGTTGGTCGCGACGCAAGATCCCTCGCAATCCCAATTGAACATGCGTCAATGCCCACCATGTCATCATACACACTCTTACACACCTTGTTTGCTGTGAGCTGAGAATGTCTCCCACGCTCGCCTCCCACGGTAACCTCCATTACCTAAACATTAAGACCCGACCCAGAAGGTCCCAGTCACGAACACCAGCGGAAGGTGAAGCCCTTCGTCCTTCGGGCTGGTCCAGACTCAGTCGATGTCATGCTTGATTTCTGCGTAATTCCTACCCCTGTGGTGGGTCAGGGCAAGCAGCCGTGTACAAAGAACCCCATGCGCAAGCACTCGCTGGTACGGTAGCCTGCAACGCCGCTGGCTAGGGCCCATTCACACGAAGGGCTGAGGGCCGCCGAAGGGCTTCGATGGGCATCGCAGCATAAACGGCATAACGTCCTGCAATATTTGTGATGTCCATGAGGGTCTATCATGCTGTCCTTTAATTACTCTTAAAAGGGCTTCGTCCATGTTTCATTCCTTCTGGTATTCCCAAGTCCCGGGACCTTTTTGGGCGGGGCCCCAGCGCGAAGCGCCCAGGGGGGCCCCGCCCTGTAGGAGCGCCCATGTCCGTGTGTGTGTGTGTGTGTCTGTGTGTGTGTGTGTGTGTGTGTGGGTGGGTGGGTGGTGTGTGTGTGTGTGTGTGTGTCTGTGTGTGTGTGTGTGTGTGTGTGTGTGTGTGTGTGTGTGTAAAACGGACCAAACATAATATCTCGCCCGGGTGAAGCGCGTTATAGGTAATAAAATGCATTCTCTATTGCAAGGTATCTCGCCTGTGGCCAACAAAAATCGTGTGAGCACAAACAAGTTTGGCTGCCTCCATTGACCGAGGTCAAAGTTACATCAACGCCTCTCGGTGCCGCGTAGCTCAAAATTGAATTCTGCTATGACGGCGTATGAGAACTCGAACACCCAGCTTGCGTTACCATTTGCCCGCACGGGCATTCCGACTTGCCACCAGCAGGCCGGCAAATTTGCTTCCATTTCTCTATGAAGTACGCAAGCTGCTCGTTTGTACAAATACTTGGGCCAATGCTCGGGGCCTCCGAAGAGTTGCAGTGTGCCGCGATGAAGCTCGCGGCTGTGGGGCGGAAGCATAGCTCCCACAGCATCAGCACTGCTGCAACAGACAAAGCTCCCACCACGTTGACACATCAATTGTCATACGTGCCGCCATAGCTACCGGCCTGTACGGACGCAGGGGGCCCCCGCCCTTTTTTCGGCTTCGAGGAAGCCGATACCCGACTTGTTCCCCATGAAGGCTATTTAGGCAATTGTTGGTTCGTGTGCGCGCTGAGATTCACACGCAAAGCATGTTGATGCTGTGAAAGACGACCGCTTTGCCAACTTTGATGCTTTTCCATGTTTGTTAGGTGTTCAACGTGACGATTTCCCGTCTGGCGCAAACCTGCTGCTGATTTTCATCGAGCTTGCGGGCTGCGCGGCATTTTAATGCAGTTACTGGGGCCTGCTGAGTCTCGCCTAGGCCAAAGGGCAAAAGGGATGAGGACTCCTCATTTTTAGTCCTTCCATTTCCGGCGTTTACTTCTTTTCAACTCCTGTCAATCTTCTTCTGCAGACATGGGTATTACGGGTTGTTGTATGAAGAAAACACCCCAACACGCATCGTAAGATGCTGCAGCAGCTGTTGGGCAGCAGTAAAATGCCGCAATACAGACATACACACAGACACACATACGAGCTAACATACACACCCGCCGCCAGCACGAATACATGCATGCGCACAGGAGACGTGACACAAAGCGTGTACGACCCGGCGAGTGTACAGCACAAGCGTACGACACGATACTCAGAACCACACGCCCAATTCAGTACTTCGACGCAGGAAACACCAACAAAGTTGGCCACGTATGGTTGTGTGAATGTGTGTGTGTGTATGCGCGGATGACGAAATGACGCTCTGCAATATGACGCCAGCGAGCAAAACATTACCGCAGCTTCCATCAGCACCACCGCTATATCCCTAACCGTACCACATCCCCCCGCAACACACCTCCCAAACGTCTGCCACCACGGCGCCCCAACCTTACGGCCGCCGGCACCTGGCTTGACCTTGCGTTTCCTCCTTACTTCTCCTCCAAGCTACTTCTCTCTCTCTCTCTCTCAGTGCACGCGGGGAACCAGTTAACGACCAGCCTCTACCGAAGGGGGAAAGGGAGGGGAGAAAGAGAGAGGGGAGAGAGAGAGGGGGGCCGCAGATCCGCAGACCAAGAGGCAGACAGAAAGGAAGGGGGCCCCAAAGGGACAGAGACAGCCGCCTGGGCAACCCCTGGGCAGGCGACGGCCGCAGCACATGATACGTCGCTCAGACATATCCGCATCAGCCGCGTGCCCCTCTTGTCTTGCCACGGTGGGAGGTGCCGCCGCCCTCCCTGGTGGTTCTGGACAGGCCTTTTAGGAACTCTCTCGGTGCCTAAGAAGCCCAGCTCACAGCTACACACCCCAACAGATCCAAGCCAAGGTAGCCAAACCTCCTGACGTGCCCCACCACTGCGGCAGAGCAGGCTGCGGCAGCACCACTGCGGCAGAGCAGGCTGCTGACTGCTTTATTTGGCGTCTTAGCCCACCCACCCACCCACTCAACTCCACTACACCACCCATTCAAGGAGACGCACGTCCGGCCTCCCGCCAGTCCTGGTGCGGACTGGACGTCTCGTTCCGCGCGGCGCACCCCGTACCACACATAACAACCGCATGTATGAATCCGAAATCTTCCTGCGTCCCCTTCTTGCGGCTCGGACACTCTCAGCCGAAAGCCGCACCCACGCAACCACCTACAATCTTTTAATACCCGGGCCCCAAAGTCCGGTCCGTGGTTCGTCTTAAACCCCCAAACTCCGGACTTTACGCAACCCCCCACCGTGTCAATGTGCCACACATACATACATACACAGGTTTTGTATGTGCGTACGTATATGTGTATGTGTGGCACATTGTTCAGAATAGAGCACACACACACACATTTTTTACACATTAAAAAACACATCCCCGAGGGCCTTTCCCGGGAGGCTTTCCGCGGGACAGCGGCAGACAATTCCTTAGGTTAGTCGGCGTGCTGGGTACGTGTTGAGCAGCTTCCTAATGCGGTTTTCCCCTCCCCACCCCACCCCCACCCCACATACAAACTTGATATCCCTCTGGCCGCCATGTCACATTACAGAAAGAGGATCACAGATCAACGACAGCACGCACGAGGTTGTGTGCGTGTGTTCTGTGTGTATGTGCGTGGTGGGAGGGTCACGTAGACGTGTTGTGGGATAGGTTTGCATCGAGTTGGCGCACTTATTTCCTCCCTTGCATGGCCTCTTGCGCAATGTGTTACCTGAGCGTTTGTCAGGGTGTATTTTAATAGCTTGCGATCTTAGATCACGTGGTTTGTGTGTTCGTGTATATATGTATGTATGCATGTATGCGCACGTGTGTGTATGTGCACCCACCCCACGGTATCCACGCAACCACACACCAGCTCAGTGTGCGCCCATCTTTGTATTTCCTGGAGGGACGGAGCCGCATCAGGGACTCCTACTACTGCATTATTTACTGTAGCTGGTCAACCTTCTTCCTCTCCTTTTTCCCCCTCCTCGTCTCCCCTTTCCTTTCTTCTCCTCCTCCCTCATCTCCCCTCTCCTCCTCTCTTCCTTAGCCCCTGTTGCACATCCATCCACCCGCCAGGGGAAGGTCATCCCAGCGGGGCCCCTTCCACCCACGCAAACACGCACGCACGAATCCCATCCTTCATCACGTCAATTAACTATCCTTCAGTATTTTCCCGCAGCGGCCCCCAATACTGCGCTGCGCTACACGCCCTCCCCGCCACTGCCGCCACGTCCGCCGCCGCGCGCCCATCTCCCTCGCATCCCCTTGATTAAGACCGCCACCACCGTCGCCGCGACTGCTGCCGTCGCCACCGCCCCAGTCGCCGTCGTTGAACCAGCGGCCCACCAACGCGACCAGGCTGGCCTACGGAAGAAGCCGCCAAGCCGCCGACCGTCGTCACCGCCGCCAGCTGCTGCTGCTTCTGCTGGCGCTGCTGCTGCTGGGCCACTTCCGCCGGCGGAGCCTCCCTTCGCTGGCAGTCCTTCAGGTGCCACTCGCAATGCGTCGAGTTGTGCTTCTGCTGCTAGGGATTTGGGACAAGGAGGGAGGGTAGGGCAGGGCAGGACGGGGGTGGTAAATTGGTGGTGAGATGCATCATACATCAAAAGGGGGTTGGGAGTATGACGTGATCATGATATCCTTTGTAATGGCGATGGTGTTGATGTTGACGACTTTCATAAATGGTGCAGATGGGATGAGAAATCCCTAGGCAAGTAGGTACTATAAGGATATGAAGAATGCTGAATGGGGGCCGGATTGGAGAGGTGGAGGAGGAAGGAACATTGATCCCATCCCCCAGGAGGTGTGTTTGTGTGTGTAGGGGGAGGGGCCAGCCTCTCAGCAACCCTGACGCGTATCGAGTTACATGCAAATGGATCCGGCACTACTCTTACCGTCCGCGGCCTCCGCCGCTGCCAGCAGCCGCGCCGCTGCCACCGCCCACTGCATACCCCCCAGACTGCCCTCCCTGTCGCCAGCCCTCACTCCTCTGGAACCCGCTGCTGTTGCTGTTGCTCCTGTTGTTGTTGTTGTTGCTGCTGCACCACCTCCGAGCCCGGTCTCCACTTCCACCTCCTCCCCGATCTTATTGGTATCCGTCGTGGCGCTGGCAGCTGTGGTAGTGGTGGTAGTGGATGCGGCGTCCCTTACGAGGGAGGGTGGTTGTGGCTCCTGTGTGTGTGTGGCATCCCCCGCAGGCATGGCTCCTGCTGGGGCCGCTGGGGCAGTAGCGGTGGTGGTAGTAGTGGTGGTGATAGCGGTAGTGATGGAGGCTGTTGCTGCAGCCGGATTCATCTGGTGTAGTGTTGCTGCTCCTGCTCCACTTGCCGTCCCCTCCGCCCCTCCACCTCCGCCTCCAGCTGCCATATCCTCCACCTCCACGTACTTGAGGGTGGACAGAAACGTGTCCAGGTCAGCTGCCGCGGCAAACACCTGGGTGATGGGGTGGAGGGGGAGGGGGAAATCTGCAACTCCCCTCCTCTTGGCTGTTCGTAGTGTAACTATTTGCCCAAGTAAAACCCACTTCAGCCTCCCCAGACCCTCCCCAGACCCTCCCCAGGCCCCTAGGGCCCCCCCTCTCGTCGCACCATGTGCACCGGGCCCCACTCCAACGCATGCGCTGATCTGTGGCAGCGCAATGCCTTGGGGAGACCCCGCAGCGAGTAGAGAAACTGGGATCCATGGAGAAGCTGAAGCCTGAGAGGGAACAGCGCGTGGGCGGGGAGGTGGGAAGATGAGAGGGAGGGGTAACTTGGGTTTGTGCCAGCAAAGTTTCGGAAGGGTTGAGGATGCACAATGGCTTTGGGTTTCGCTTGGAAATGTGAGGAGGATTTAGGGTTCCACCAGAGTTTCAGCAAGGGGTGCAGTCCTGAAATTTGGAAGGCTCGAAGACAGGGGAAGAAGATGATGCGAAGCAGAGAAGGCAAAGCTCTTGTGGCCAAGGGCAGCCGTAGTTACCGGTGGTTCTATGGAAATGTGCGCTTTTGGCGGTGGCTCAAGCCGGTTGCAGATATACTAGCCGTCTATCGGGACTATTTTGATGTCAGCTCATCTGTCCAGTCTACATCCCACCCGGGCCGTCCCGTCGACGCCTGACATGGACTCGGCCTTCGGCCGGAGTTTAATAACTAGGCAAATAGTCCAGGGTATAAGGCCATCGTCCATGAATGGATGGTAACTGGATTTGACGAATCGGCGGGTACTTGGCAAGAAGCTGGCAACGGGTGTACGCGCATACCAGAAGGCACAGCGGAATATTGTGACCGCGCCGGAAAGCCGGGATCCCCCATAGTTATTATAAAGAGTTAGTTGGAATTGGACAAAGCAGATCTGGAAGAACTCAAACGTTGACTCGAACCTGCGGCTACTTGCGCCGCGGGCGGAAAGCTGACTCGCCTGTACGAAACGCAGCTCGGTCGTTTTCGGCTGAACTTGGGAGAAGGTGGCTCATACTTAAAGCTGAGTTGTTGATCACGTCCAAGAGGCGCAAGAATGTAACCTTCGAAAGAGGGCGTCGCGGACTCGAATGACTCAGCGGTAGACCTTTTCTATGGAGGATCGAAACAGCTCAAACGTTATTTAGGGCTTGCCTGAAGATGATTTTGACAGCTCCGCAAGGAACCCTTCACACATAACCGAGGGTCTGAACCCCGTCATAGCCTTGCTGAGTGCTCGAACGATAAACACTTGAGCAGGTGCACCAAACAGAGAATCCCCTGACGTGCAAACCTCGGAAACCTCATCGTCATCAGATTCACCGTGGTCGCTGTCGACATGAATGACTTCGCAGTCGGGATCCATCTGCCTTACAACTGGGCAACCTGTCGTGTGGTCCATTGCATATGGTTCCTAAGCATTAAGCGTATGGAGTGATTGCAAAACGTCTGGATAACGGGTTACGTCTGGAGTGTGTCTGGAGTTGTGGGGTAAGGGTTGTGTTGTCGTAACATTTGCCGTGAGAGCATTGCCTGCACAGGACAGCGCTCTGGGCAGTAAGTTTGAAGACATCTAGCTCTCACATGGAATACTGTTTTCTCTGTAAACTCAAGGTAGCAACAACGCTAACGCCTATAGGCACCAGACAATCAGTCAGCTGTCGCTGCGAAGGACATGCCAAGGCTAAGATTGCGCGTTGCGTCAACCAACGTTACTTACAAGCTTGAGCTGCCTCAGCACTGCACCTGGGCGGGGCTGCTGGCAGAGACGCGCCGAGCTGTTGGGCTTTCGCCGGATGTGGACGTCGTGCTGTCCCTGAATAAAAAGGTAACTTGTAAGCTTAATTTTAACTTGCACGCAAAATTTCCTAATGCTCTTCTCGTGGTCATCACTGCAGACGCCCCTGCATGGATCGCCAGGCGACCCTTGGAGCTCGCCGGGCATCTGCGGCGGCGACTTGGTCTGGTTGCTAACACCTGCTCTGGTAAAAGTTACTGACGATTTCTGCATGTGATCGATTACGAAGTGCTCTCCAGGAACTGATGCAGTCAACGCCGGGCAGCGCACCCGCCTCTTCCTGTTTTCCCCTTCCCCCAACGTGACCTCATCAAAGGAATATCTCTCACACGGCGAACAACAATTCCATCCCATCCATGACACCCATGCCCATCCTGGGGCCTGCTCCAAGCCATATCCTCTCTCCTACCCGCACCCTCCAACGCGGTCTCAAACCCCCCCGGGACATGCGTGCCGACGTGGACGTATGCGGATGCGTGCCAGAATGTCTACCGAGAACTGATGTGTTTCATAAACCCTCTTCATAACAATTACACAAACCTAGTAACCTGCACAAAAGCATCCCCATACCAAACATTTGAAAGTCCAATATGCCCCAGGCGTTGCTGTGACCTCGCTCCATGTGGACGACGTGCCCACATTCGGAACACATCTAGGCCTCTAGGAAACCTGCCTAGGAAACGGAATGCCTGAAATACACGACTTACAAACGGACGGACGCGACGGGCAAACCTGACTCGTGCAGATGACGTCGTCCCCAACACACACGACTGCACCAGACACAGCCACCGCCGCAGGCGCTGCCGCCACACCAGCCGCTGCCGCCAGATGCTCCGAGACCACGGTGCCCATGGAAACTGCAGCAGCTCCTTCCATTCCCTCCAAGTCGCCGCGGCCTTCAGAGGCGCGGGGGGTGGCGGCGGCGGCCACGGCAGGGCCCGCAGAGCAGGAGCCGGCGTGCGCGAGGCCGCCTGACCCCGATCCCGACCCCGGCCCTGGGGGTGCCGGCGGCGGTATCCCTGGCGGCAGCGGCGGAGTCAATGGAGGGGTCAGGGACGTGGATGGGGCTGCTGTTCAAGCATTATGGGCTGGTGCGGGATCAGGGGGGGGAGTGAAAGCAGATTTCCACGGGGACGGAGACGGCGGTGATGATGTGGGTGGAGACGAGGCGGAGGCGGTGGAGGCGCAGCATGTGGGGCTCCCGGTATGTGGGGTAGCTTTGGGACGGGGCTCCCGCTTGGGGCGGTTTTGGAGATGTTGGTGGTGCTCCTCCCTTGGGCGCCGTTTGGGGGCGGAAGAGGAAGAAGTTAAGACGGTCTTTGGTGGCACCCCGGTCAGGAGAGGCGGTGGAAAAAAACACGTCCTTGTGTGTGTGTATATGTGTACGTATGTATGTGTGTGTACGTGTACGGACATAAGGGGTGGAAACTTGGATTTAAGGCAGCTGACGGGCAGAGGCAGACAGGAACGGCGGGTTTGCCGTACGTTCCCCTCTCTGCTGGTGACATCCCAATGACGTGTGGATGGGTGGGTGCTAGGTAGTGATAGCGATACTAGCAGCCGGCCTGCAACCCAGTAACGTCCCTGCAACCCCTTGCTGTTGCTACTGCTGCTACTACTGATGCTACGCTACTGCCACTTGTGCTGCTGCTATTGCTACTGCTGCTGCTGCTCTATCCCATGGCAACACTCGCTAGGCAATCCGGGGTGTATCCCTGAAGCTGCTGCGGCTGCTTGTCCCAACCCGCGCCACTTCCGCCGCCACCACGTTTGCGACCAATGATTCGAATGCTGTCGTTACACGCGGACCTGGGCCGAGCGCCGCCAGCACAACCAACAGCAACAGTGGAGACCTCAATCCCGTCGGCGCCAGCGACGGCGGTGGCGGCGGCGGTTGTCGTACGGATTGGGTTTCCCTGCCGGCGGCGACGCGGTGTCTACTGGTGTTGGATTGCGCCATGGCGGAAGGGGGCTTCGAGGGGCTGCAGGTGTGGTATGTATGTATGTTGTTACAGGGTGGTTAACTTCGCCAGCGGCCCCCTTTCCCGGGGCAGTCCCTGCTCTCCCCTGCTAGAGGGGCACCCTAATCCGTCACCCCATCCGACTTCAGAATGTATTCATTGGGTTCGGCAACTCACCACCAGCATCCAACCAAATCTAGCGGATCAACGGCGCATCAACTTAGTTCCTGGTCAGCTCGCAAGTTGATTTTATCATGTCCTACATCGTCCATATGATGGGGGGCCGCCTCCCATTTCAACACTCCTCAAACACCCGAGGAGCCGGCAGGCGGATTTGAACCCGGGTCGGCCGGGAGCAGAAGTCAGGCCTTAACCTCTGCCAGCCGCCTGCCTATTGTATGTATATATGTATGTATGACTTAGATTACACTGTGGGCCGCGAGAGCCGGGGGCCGAAGCCGAAACACAGCACAAGGGTCGGGAGCACACAGCACAAGTCGGTTAGTCTTGTGTGCTCCCGACCCCGACTCAGACTGCCAACACTCTACGCAGCCACTCCGCAGGCCCCCATCCGGGGATGGCGCTGCAGTGAAGACACCACGAAGGGCTCTCAGGTCCCGCTAGAGCGAGTCCACAAGTCTCAGCTAGGGCAAAGTCAAAGGCTCTCTGAAACAATCCCCCACAACACAACTAAAGACAAAGGGATCCCAAGGGAAAAAACAAAAAAAATTAAAAGACGGGTAGGGCAGCCCAGGCAGGGGAGGGCTCCTGATACACCTAACAAGCCAACAAAAATTCTCCGGCCTGCAGTTTAGGTTTAACCGCCTCGCCTTCAGGCATTATGGCCCTTATTGAAAGCTTTCCTGGATTTTCGCATGATCCGGGTTCGGATTTGAATCTTGACTTGGGGGCGCAACTGGTTTGGATGGGCTCGGATGTCTAATCGGAATGAAGCTGGATCTGGATATATCTCCGGCCTGAAGTTGATTCAGCGCGGGTTCAATTCATTTTTGGTTTTATTTCCGGGCTCCGGCGCCAGTGTTGTCGTGTTTCTTAGGTCGGACAAGTTCTGTCCCCTTCCTTGTCATTTCTAGTTCGTTGGCACCACAGTGCATCTCCCCATCCCTCCTCAGAGGTCAGCATCACTCCGCTGTGGTTCGTCTTCCCCCCTCACTCCCTTTACTGGTCTCGCGATCCCCTCCTCCTCCTCCTCACCCCCCTCCTCCTCACCCCCCTCCTCCTCACCCTTGGTACGGGTGTAGGATCTACCAGCGTTTGTGGGTCAGACAGGCGGTACGACACCACGACAACTCCTGTACGGCTGTAGCTTCCTGTCAGAATCTGCAGGCGGCTGCAGGGATGGTGATCAGGAAATGACGGAGGCCGCTTTTTCTGGCGATGGCGATGGCGGCAGCGGCGCCACCGCTGCAGCTGCCAGCGCGCCTGTCGTCAAGCTGCTCTGGTACAGCATGGGAAGGTATCTTGTCGTACATGGTGTTCCGTGTATCAGCCGTGGCGGCAGCGCTGCAGCAGCGGCGTCAGGTCGTCTCTCGCCGGTGACGCTGCACATTGACCTCGCCGAGTACGGCAGCGGCGCTGCCTCCGCCGCTTCCGGCGGCGACGGCTGTGACGGATCGTTGTCGACGTCGACGCAGCTGCCGCCGGACCCTGCTGGTCATTGGCGGCGGCTTAAGGACGGATTGGTCCTGCCGCTGCTGGCGGCGGCCTGTCGTACGGCAGGGGTGTCGCCGCCGCTGGGACTGACGGTTCTTCCCCTGGAGCTTCAAATGGCTGTGTTACGGCGGCTGGAGGTATGTACGACATACAGCACGGGAGGGCTCATGACGGCGATGCGATGGCGCCTCCACCGTGTATGGGCGTGGCGGTTCCCGGCTACAACCGCCATCATGGTTTATGCGCGTCGCGCAATAGTTGCATAAATAATGCATGTGTGGATGTGTTTTAGGATACAAGCTTTGCCGCATGATGCTAAGAGGAGAAGGGGGACATGCCTTGGTGCATGCAACGACCCCATCACGTGAAATGCTGGGGGTTGTCACCGGGCTTTGGGGGCAATCGGGGGAGGGGAAGACGAACCACAAACGGGTGAAGCTGATGCCAAGGATGTAGGCTGACACGCCAGAAGCATGTAAGAAGTAACTACCAGTCGAAGACTTGTGAAGGGAGGGGTTTTCGCGGCCGGTGTGTGTGTGTGTGTTGGGGGGGGGTGAGGGGGGCTGGGGGAATCTGAGGGGGGCTGATGATCATAGCTGATGCTGGGCGGTTGGGGCGGCTGTACAGTCGTACGCATGGGTTTTCAAATCGTGTTTTTGATGATTTGGGCTAGGTGGGACAAAACAAATCCCGGTCTACATTCGTTTTCCTTTGACTTGCATCTGATGCCCCACTTTTCGTTTCCTGCATTCCCCCGTGGCATCAAACACACCACTATCACCGCCACCACTATCTCCGCCAGGAAACAAACCACATCGACGTTCCACTATCCTTTACAAATGTGTGTGTATGTGTGTCCGCCTCCTTGCACGAATACGCACATACGCATGTAAGGCGCGGGACCTTGCGGTGCTCAGCTGCGCCTGTACGGCACTGCACCAGCTGACGTCGGAGGATGAGCTCTGGCGACCGCTGTGCGACAAGGAGTTCGGTCCCGTACCGGGCCCTGGCGCGTCCGCCGCTGACGCGGCGCTGGCGAACAGCCGCGGGTACAAGTACTTGTACGGCAGGAAATGGCGAGAGCGTGTGGAACGGCGAAAGCGCAGGTGCGGTAGGGGGGAAAGGGCGGGGAGGGGAGGAGTGGAATGCGCTGGCAGGGCGGGGGATACGTGTATGTGTCTGTGTGTTGGTGTTGGTGTGTTTGCCGATCGGGTTGGTGAGTTGACTTCTTGCCAACTGTGCAATCATCGACCCATGAGTCAGCGAGCAAGGTGGGGAAACATATGCAAGGCAAGATGGGGAAAGAGCGGTGGTAGCGGTGGTGGTGGTGGTGGCGGTGAGGACGAGGAGGAGGAGGGGGAGAAGGAGGAGGAGGAGAAAGGGCATGTGGTGGTGGAGGAGGAGGGTAAGGTCAGGGAATATGCGCTGGGAGGCTGGGAGGCATTTTGACAATGCCCGCCTGCATTGACAATGCCCGCCTGCGCTTGGAGGTAGTACAGTAACAAAAGAAAAAGAGGAGGGTGCGGTTAAGCGAAGAAATGCCGACTGACTGTCCAGACTGTTATGCCGTAGCAGTGCGCGTACTACCCGCTAGTTGAGACCCTCCTTAGCCGGATACTGTGTTATGTATATCTTGAATAATAATAATAATAATTTTTAAATTATGTATGCATGTATGTATGTCATGCTGTGTATTGCAGGCAGGTGTTCTGGGCGGCTCATCGTCCCCATCGGCCTCCCGGCTGGGGTCCACCGCCACTGGGGCCCTTCGTACGACCGCCGTACATGCCGCCGGGCTCCATCGGGGGTGGTGAGCTTCTGTGGCACCGCATCCACCAGTGTGTAGTAGGCCTCGCCGTACATTCCACTTGTTGTAATAAATACATTTCCCTGCTCTGATGCTAGCTAGCGCCTTCCCTTGTCGTCCCCGTTCCTTCCCTTCCTCCTCTTCTTCACTTCCCTCGGCGCTGCCTCGAGAGATCCGCAAACTCTCCGCCATTTCCTCCCCTCCTTCCCACCACCACCGCCGTTGGCAATGGTGTCTTGCTCCTGCTCACGCCCATCACCTTGACTCCTCCTGACTTCCATTACTGCACACACGAGAGAAACGTGCTGTCACGTGTCCGTGTTGTCGTACAGACTACGACCGCCTCCCGCCGCCCCTGATGGGAGGAGCTCCGCCAGCAATTATGGGTAGCTTCGGAAGCGGCAGTGGCATGTTTACCGGCGGCGGCGGCGGCTTTGGCGGCGGCGGCGGGTTGTTCCCCGGGTCAGGTCCGCGTCGGCTAGGGCCGTGGGGGAGCAGCGGCGGTAGCGGCCTAGGGAGCGGCGGGTTCCTCTAAAGTACACGGATTTATGGTGAATATCAGTGTCCATGTACGACATGTACGGCAAAGCTAATTACGGCAACGGCGGGCTTGCGTCGGTTCGGGTTTCCGGTGCAGATAGAATCGTAAAGGGAGTAATGTGTGTGGGGGGTTGGTGGTGGTGGTGGTGGGGTGGCAATGAGGTGGGTCAGGGGGTTACACGGTAAGCACTTTGTTCGTCATGCGAGATGTCCATGTACGGCATGGCATGTGTGCGATGAAGAGGTTGGAGATACGGATGCCGGACGAGGTTGTCGCTGGGGGTGAGGGTCGATGGGGTTTGAAGGGTTGGCGTTGGAAGGGTCTGAATGACGTCTGAATGACGGTTCGGGGAAGAGCAGGACGGGGAGTCGGAGAAGAGATCTCCACCGCGGCTTTTTGTTGTGGGATGGAAGGGTGCGACCTGGTTCCATTGTACGGCACAGAATCTGGGGGGAAGCCTCTCGAAACAGTTGCGGCTTTCCTGTTGAGTAAAGGCAAGGGAAGGAAGTGAAAGGTTGCATGTAATTTCTTCCTTTGTACACTGCTTGTTTTAACTCCCCGAGTTGCAACTGAGAAGATTGCGCGTGAGTGGTCGCATGCATACGCATGTCTGTATGTGTCGATGGAATGAAGTTAGTGTCCTTAACGAGATCGATATCTTGCCGTTGAAGCTATGCGTATGTCTGTCTGTCTGTCTAGCAAGTTTTAAGTCGGGTCGGCGGACGCGGAACCCAATGTACGGCTGGCGACAGCAGGGTCATATTGTCAGTGTGCATTTCCGCCTTACTTGGTGCTAGCCATTGAACAGCAAATTTGTTGAAAATTTCGCATGCAGTTATATGCTTTTTCTTTCTTTTTCTTTTCTCTTTCCTTTTCATATTTTCTGCGATACTGTGTGGTCGAGGTTTTTTTGCGACGTGTCGTTATGCAGCAGGCGGAGTTGGGAATCCGTCCTTGAGCTTCACTTAGCCCTGACTCTTAGCCCTATCGTACTGGTGGTTGGGTAGGCAGTTACTGGCAGGCATACAGGGCTTATCCGGTTCCCCTCCCGACCATATGATACGGGTCACATAAACGTGCATACATACATCTCCTTAGAATGCTGCACTCTTCTACTTGCGTTCCATTCATTGGGTACATGCAGGGGTCATTAAAATATTATTCCTCAGTTGTTTATGCTGTTCAGTTCGCAGCTGATGTTAAGGACATGAAAAGGATTTTGTGCTTCGGTCTGCCCAAGCAAGCACATATGCAGGCAGCCTTTCAGATTTTCTATCGTTGCCCTCAGAAAACCTTTCGTTAAGCCGCACAACCTCTCTTTTGACCAGGTCGTGCTGAACCCTCAGGCCCATTCATAAAGTTCAGCTGGCGTGTCGCATCATACGACTGTAACATCGACAAAGCATGTGCGTACGGCAGACCACCGTACCCCAGGCTAGCTGATTCTGGCGGGTCGCAGCTATTGCATTATTTCTCTTACCATTGTAATGCATAATCTATCACGCTCCTCTTCCTCGCACTTTATCCCCTTGGCGGGGTGGGTGGGCGCTTCTAAACCGCTTCTAAACCGCGACAGACGGCGTATTATATAAGTAAGCCTCTTGCACGTTCAGCCACTGAATTATATTATCCATCGAAAACGTTAATAACAGATGCCTTTGTGCCCACTTTTGCCGACCCGTAGTGCTCCCTAGTGCGTTATTGGCTGTGTAATCGTTTTGGCCATAGCGTTCTGTCGCGAGGGCGCTCTCAGCTCGTTGGATCGCAAGGCACCCTTGCCCATCCCCTTAGTCTACCCCATCCCCTCATCCGCAGACATCTATCGCTGGTCTTACCGCCGGCATATGCCCGCCGCCTCTGCTCCCCACCGCTTCCCCCACGATAAGCTCGAAACCTTACATATCCTCCCTCCTGTCATGCGCCGCCCGGCTGTCCTGTTCTTTGTGTTCACGTCTGATTAACTCATTCGCTCCCTCGCTTGCCAACTTCCCTAACGAGAGTACCTGATCCTGAGGTACCTCAACCGCCCCCTGACCCTGCATGGCCGGGTGGCTGCTGCTCCCTGACTGAGGACCCTTCCCTTAGGTGGCTCCCGTAGCATCCGTTGCGGCAGCAAGCTCGCATCTTCGCTGCCTCGCCGGCGCTGAGGAGATCATCGCCCTGTCCTTGGCCCCCATTACCCAGCGTCAGAAGCAAGCTGCAGGGCGTGGGGTCAACACCCGGTTCTTCACCCTCCCGAGCTAGGGTTGCGACCTGAGTTTCTGTCCGCCTGACGACCTTGTTGATGTTGTTACAGGGTGGTTACGCTTCACCAGTGGCCTCCTTCCCGAGGGGGTTTAGGGTTAGCACCCACCTGACGAACGCCTCCGGGCCTATAGGAGTGTGAGACCAACCATGGTGGCTTCTGTCGTGTGGCACTTTGCAAGAGCCCCAGCGTTAAGGAGCCACCATCACCGAGCTGAGGAGCTGGCTGCCCTAGGTCAGTGGCACCCCTCCTTCTACCGGTATCGGCAAAACCCCTGCCTGTGCCCCTATAAATTCCGTGTGCTGGTGGACTACTTGTGGGCCTGATGGATCGATCCTCTCCGCCCCGTTCCCGCCTGCTGGAGTTGCTGTTGCTCCGCGACCAGCCGCGCATTCTCTACCTGCGGGCGACCTCCATGCATGGTGCCGACATGGGGAAAATGCGACTAGATGAGTTCCTAGACCCTGCCTCTGGTGGCCGCCATCCCCGTTGTGGTTTACCCTTGCCTTTACTCGGCCCGGATGGCACATACCCTGCCGGGATCACACTCATGGTGGCTCAGTTCGGCACCGAGACCTGCCAATGCTCTCGCGCGCCCAGCATCACCTTCAACCCGCCTGGACCATGATCCCCAAGCCTGCTTCGTGCGCGTGTGCACTGGCCGTCTACCGGGTGCCCTGCGTCAGCTCCGAACCTCTCCCGGCTCTACCGTGACGGGCTATCTGTTCATCCCGGCCCCCTGCCGCTGGTTGCGGCGGTTTCAAGGAAGCACACCCTTGTCGAGGAGTGCGCTGGGGTGCCCGCCTGCGCACCCACCTGACGAACGCCTCTGGGTCTATAGGAGTGTGAGACCAACCATGGTGGCTTCTGTCGTGTGGCTCTTTGCAAGAGGCCCCGCGTCCAGAAGCCACCACCAGCGAGCTAAGGAGCTGGCTGCCCTAGGTCAGATCTGTACCCCCCACCGTACGCGTGCTGAAGCGATAGCTGGACCCCCTCACCCCCGCCTGCCCTCCCGTGACACTTGCCCACGCCTGGAGTGATGCTCGTGACCTTCCACCCCGGTCGTGGCTGCTGTACCAGTCGATCTGGCCTTGAGGGCTGGGTGGGTGGGTGGGCCTGAGGATTTTGTTAAAAGTGATGTCTCGAATGGGCGCTAATAAATCTAGTATTAAGTTTCGCGCTCGCTTTGCTTCTAGGTGGTGTCGGGTTATACTTTTGTTCCGGCTGTCCCTCCTCTAGGCCTGCGGTACGGCTAGTTGTTGTCTGGTTGAGGTGGGCGTGGTCCGTTAGCCACAGTTGGTCTTTAACAATTCTACATGAATAAAGTCTAATTACTTCCTTTGATCGTCTTTGGCTCGAGCTCACACATACACATACATACATACATACGCACCTGCCTTATTTATTAATCCTTGTCGGGTCCAGTTGTCTGGCTATTTACAAAAAAAACAGTATCCCTTGTACGGTACGGCCGCAGGGCACGTTGCTTGGTTGGGGATGGTGAATGGGGAAAATGTCATGGATAAGTTGCGGATGGAAGGGGAGAGGTGGGAGTGGGAAGATTGTGTGCATGATATGTTGCGAAAGGCGTACGGTGAGGTGTTGGGTGAAAAGGGATAAGGGAAGGCCCGTGTGGGTGATACTCGATAGCTCTCACGCACGTGATTGAATCCTGCCTTTAGGTGAAGAATTAGGAAACCTTCTTACAGCTTTGGGTAAGCCTGTTAAACCCTTCCAAAGTTGTGTTGTTGTACGGCGCTGCAACCTCGTGGTCGAAAGCATCGGTTGCAGGTCCAATCTCGGCATGCACGCGATGGATGTTGGAATTCGATTATGGTTCACGAGCCTGACCTTAGGGCTTGATGTTAATAGTGTTTGATTCGGACTGATTCTCTGTTGGGCTTTTGTAGCAAGTTGATAATCGCCCGCTTTATAAATGAACTGCATTTTATCGTTCACGTGGAGATGATCTGGAAGCTTATGTGAGCAGTCGGCCGCCAAACTTTGGCGCTCAACCGCAGATGTGAGTTGCGGCGTTGCTGGGGATGCGCTCTTATGCTGGGAACACCTTATACCATACTCTAATTCCTTCGTGTCCTTCCGGCGTATGTCTACAGGCCAGAGGAAAGTGCGGATAATCCAATTGCAGTGGACGCCAAGAGCTCACCCAGCCGCGGCCGCTCGGGCACAACAGCGGGCGAGTACTACAGCAGTCGCTGGGCTTCGAAAGGCTGTATACCCTCAATTAGCGAAGACCAGGGATGCTCACCCTGCATCGACGCCCACCAAAGACCGATGCAGCAGTCGGGGTCCCCGAACCGGCACAGCAGCCAGGATCACCAAGGCAGGCATTACAACGACAGCTATGTCATGTGCGGGCAAAGCAACGAGGGCGGCGAGGCGGCTGCAGCGGCGTACAGCAACGACAGGCACGTCAACGAAGACGGCAGCAGTGCCGTCGCGGATGATATGTATGACAGTGCCTACGGCGCAGACGACTATGATTACGCTGACGCAGATGCAGCTGAGTACGGCGCTGATTGCAGCGATGAACCTCCAAGCCCCAATCCTGGCGATCAGCCCAGCACTCTGCCGTACGACGGAGCAGTTGCCGACGCAGACACTGATGCCGATGCCGGCGGAGGCCGCAGCAGCAGCGGGCGGAATGGGCGGTGTTCTCCCGCAACGTCACCACAAAACCCCTCCCTTGCCGAGGGTGACGCAAAACAAGAACGGCTCAGCTTCGACGCACATCCTGCCGTTCCCGAACCCCTAAACCTAAACCTGACACAGGACATGGACCGGGACCGGGAGAAGCGCTGTACGACAACTGCCGACGGCGCCGCTTCCAGTCGCCAGCAGCTCAGCCGCGGCCGCAGCCGCAGCCCAGCGCCCCGCTCTCACCCCCAGCGGCAGCCTCCCCGTGGGAGGTGCAGCCGCAGCCCTAGCCGAAAACGTTACCGTGATCCTGGCTCCAACCGGCCCAACGGCCCCAATGGTCGGTGCCGAAGCGGGAGCCCAACTCGGGAATGGAATCCCCCAAGTCCGGGGAGGAGAGGCCCCGGTAGCGGCGGTGTACGACGGCCCTGGCCGGGGCCCCCGTCGGGGCGGCCCCAGTCGACGCAGAGCGAGCCACGTCAGCCTCATCGGCCGTACGAGCCGTTCCGTGGGGATCCGCTGCCGGCGGCTGCAGGGCGAGGGCGGGCCGGGTTGGTGGAGGCGGCTCAGAGAGGTAGAGGAGGAGGGGGGGTTAGAGGAGGGGCTCCGGGGCATCGGCCGGCGAGCTCGCCGCCGCCGCAGCCGCCGCCGTCAGCATATCGTCGACCACTGGGCGGCGGCATGCCGCCACCATACGACGACAGGTGCGTTCGGGCCCGCGGGTTGGTTGACATGGCTTCTTGGTTGGTTCAGTCGAGCCGAGGAAGAGGCACCGATATTGCGAGTGCGGTGCGACAGACACCACCTAAACCGGTACCCGCCTAACCCCACACCCGCCTTTCCCCATATTAATCCCACTGTAGGCGCGGCGGCAGCGGCGATGGGTCATATCCCCATGGTTTCGGAGGATCTGGTCCTAGGGCAGCGCCGCCGCCTGTACGATTTCAGGGAGAGGGCGTCAGGAGAGGCAGCGGCGGCGGGGCCCATGGCAGTGCCGTACTCGCACCACGACGTGGCTCCCGCTCACCTCCCGGACGTGCCCCTGGTCCTGACCTGCCGGGTCCCCACCACCACCACCACCACCACCACCACCACCACCACCATCCGCATCACGACACGCTCCGTCAGACGCCATTCTACAGACCACCACCGCCCGCCAGCGGCGGCGGGGGCGGCGGCCGCGGGAGACGGGGCAGTGGAGGCGGCGGAGGAGACGGATTCCACGACCCGCAGTACCGTCACCCTCCGCACCATGAGCAGCATCAGCATCAGCAGTCACGGCGGGGACTGTCGCCGCCGATGTTGCCTGACTCGCAGCGTCCTCGGTCCGATGCTGCTGCTGCGGCGGCGGCATGGGCCGGGCCCCGTGAGCGACATGATGGGCCGGGTCCATCAGGTCCCGGAGCACCCAGGCCTAGGGGAGGGGGGGAGGCAGCACCGGGCCACGGAAATGACAGGGGCCCGGCAGCGCCGGGGTGGGGCTGGGCCGCGCCGCCGCCGGCGCCTAGCTCGCCGCTCCAGAGCTGGGGCGGCAGGGGCAGGGGCAGGGATTGGGAGCGGGAGGAGCCGGGCCACGGAGCCCGCCGGCCGCCTCAGCCGCCGCCGCCACCACCGCACCTTCAGGGCCGGCGAGGTACGGAACCTGTAGCTGCCGCCGGCGCCGCCGCCGCTTATCCTGGTTCCCGGGGCCATCATCTGCCGCCGCCGCTGGCGCCGCTGGGAAGCATCGGGTGTATGAATTCCAGCGGCCGCGGCATGTCACCGCCGCCGTCGTCGCCGTCCCACCGCCAGCGGCGATACGATGGCGGCGGCGGCAGTGAACCCCGCGGCCCGGGGCCTGGTCCTTACAGTGCGGCGTACGATGGCCCACCGCAGGGGCCTCCTGGTGGCGGCGGCGGCGGCGTGGAAGGCAGGTTTAGGCCCACAGATGCCGTCGGTGGACCGCGGCCAGGTGGATTTCGTCGTACTCCATCTCCTCCGCGTTTGTACGGGCAGTACGGCCATAGCGGCGTACCAGATCCGCGGTACGGTGACGGCCCGGGGGGCCCTCAGCGGCGGCCTCCGAGCCCCCCCGCCACTGCCCGACTGGGCGCGCGCAGTCCGCCACACCCTGGCCGTGCGCCGGGAGAAATTCCGCTGTACCGCGCTTTACACGACAGACGCGGCAGTCCTCCTCCTCCACGGGACCCGGGGTTGAGAATTCATCCTATGTCATCGCAGGATCCGGCGCCGCACAGTGGTAGCGGCGGTGGTGGCGCGGTATTTGACCGTTACGGTGGTGGTGGCGGCGGCGGCAGCTGGGCAGCGGGCAGATCACCACCGCTGGCGCCGCCGCCGCCGCAGCAGCAGTGGGGCGCAAGCCGCAGCGGCCCACGGAATAACTCGCCGCCGCCGCTGCAGCGCCTCCAAGCCGTACGACGGTCGCCGCCTCGCTACCTCCGTGGTGAGTTGGGTCCTCCCCCACGTCCGAATGAAGCTGCAGCGGCGGCGGCGGCGGCGGCGGCGGTAGTCGGGTCCCCGCTGCATATGCGTGGTGGATTTCAGGCCGCCCCGAGGAAAGACTACGAACGGCGGCCGCAACCACTGCCAGCATTTGATGGCCCAGGAAGAGGACCAGGACGCCCTCACTCGTACGGCCCGTACGACGGCGAAAATGGTGGACCGCCGTCGTACAATAACCGCCGGGCGCTGTCGCCACGTAGCTTGGATGGTCCGTTGCCGCCGCCCAAGCGCCGGCCGCCGCCGTCGAGCTGTGCGAGCGGCCGGGGGCCTTGTAGCCCTGGGCGGGGCAGAGGTCCCGGGTTTGAATCCGGCATGGGCCCGAGATCTGACGTCAGTCTATCCCGTTCTGGGGTCCCGCATGGTAGGCCCGGGACCGAATATCCGAGCGGCAGCTGCGGCGGGGCGGGGGATACCGCTCCGGGTCGTCAACATGGGAGCAACAGCGGCGTGGCGGCGGCAGCGCCGACATCCTCGGAGCACGTGAGTGGCGGCGGCGGCCGCGGACGTCATGATGATGGTGGTGGTGGTGGTGGTGGTGGTGGTGGTAGGTATCATGATGTTCGTGACGAGGCGGCAGTAGTGATAGCTGGCACGAGCCGGGAAGCAGATAGGATTGAGAATAATGGGCCCATGGACTACCAGTCCTCGTCGCCGCAGCAGCAGCAGCGGCGTCCGCGGTCCCCCTCCTCGTCCTTGCAACAGCAGTTGCAGCTGCAGCAGCAGGTAATGCCGCCTGCCCTAAACGGAACACCCGCCTGCCAACACGCCGGCGGCTCCTCGACCGGAACCCCTTCGAAGGGTACCGACGGTGGCGGCGACGGCTTCAAACTGCGGGTCGTCGGAGACTGCGGCGGCGGCAGCAGCATTGGCGTCGCTTGGCCTTCCCATGCAACGGCCAACGGTACGACGGGTGGCTGTGCAGCCGCGTCTGCTGCCGCCGCTGCTGCCGCCGCCGCCATCCCACCGACGTCCAGTTTTTCCACCGCCGCTACGGCCGCTACGGCCGCTGGTGTCTCTCCGGACGAAGCGGCGGAGGAGTGGTTCTACACGGACCCCTCAGGCCAGGTGCAGGGCCCCTGCTCCATTGGGCAGTTCAGGAGCTGGATCAAGTACCTCGCGCAGGATGAGGATTTTAAGGAGGAGTACGACAAGTTCTGTTCGTGCGTCGTGTGGCGGAAGCAGGGCTCGCAGCCACCGCCGCCGCCGCACTTGGCGTCCGGCTTTGGCGAGTCGCGTGCCACACTGCTGGATCTGCTACGGAGCCTTGGAGGATGAAGAAAGAACAAACATCTTTATTGCTTAAGGGATAGAAGTCTTTTAGTTCTTTTGGTGGCTTTTGGAATCCAAAAATGGACGAATGGGTGCGTAGGTATGTGTGCATGTGTATATGTCTGCGGGCCGGGTGTAACGTGCCCCTGTGTGGAACGGACTCCTATCACCATTACAATTGTCACCATCACCACAGTGGGGTAGGGAGGGAGGGAGGGAGGGGTAGCACTGGGGGTGCCGTACGTCTGCCGCAAGCGCCACTGGCGGTTTTCCTAGGACGTCAGGGATGTCCACCCCAAGCGAAGCGGTTTGAGCGCGTGTTGAGCGGCCTTGCATGCATCATCATCATCATCATCAGCAGCAGCAGTCGCAGCAGCAACAATGGGTCATTGGGAACCAGGATATGAAATCTTTAATTTGTTGAGTCCACATCTAAAAGCAAATATATATATGAAGCTGGAGATGGGCTGTGGGTTGGGGAAGAACTACGGAAGCAGCAGCAGCTACAGCAGCTACAGCAGCAGCAGCAGCAGCAGCATAAGTAGCAGTACCCAGCTGAGTCGGGAAGGAGGGAGTCGCGGCAAGGAGAGCCATGTCAGGGTGAGGAAAGAGGTGTCTTAGACCTGATGCGGTGTACTGGACTGTATGAGGTGCCGGCAAATACAAAGGGGGCACCCTGGTTACGTTGCTGTGCAGCTGGAAGTCTTCCGCGATGTCTAAGATGTCTAAGAAATGGGCTTTCTCCGAATTTGTTTACGTTTTTCTACTTCGTGCGCGCGGTTTTGTCCTCTTCCCTGAAACTGAATGATGTGTTGTTTTTGCGGCGGTTTGGTCAAATTAATTCCTTAGCTTTACGCCATGTCATGTAATGCTTGCATGTACACAGGAGCTGTTGTGGTGTGCGCTGCTGTCAGCAACGCTGCCGTTGTCATTGTAGTAGTACTCTACCTGTCTGTCTGCCTCTTTCTTTCTTTCTTTCTTTCTCTGTCTGTCAGTCAGTCTGTCTGTCGCATTGCGAAGAGCTTTTCTTTTATTCGTGGTCCATCACACCCGACCTCAATAACCTTATGTGCGTGCTGAGGGGGGTTGCTACGCGCAGCTGCGCGCTTCGATGAGCACTGATTGCGTACACCTGTAAGGAGTCGGGTAAATTCGACTGTGTTTTCATTGCAGCTGGACCGTTGGTACGAACATTCGTACATCCGGCACCGCTCATTGTGCACATATACATAGCCCGCTCGGCACCCCGCTACTGCTGTTCCGTGTCGAAGTAGGTCTCATGCATGTCTAATGCAGGCGGTGATGGGCCGTGCGTTTCTGGTTGGGGCCATGTTATCTCTTGTTTTGCTGATGCTAGTCGGTTCCACTTCAAAACGGTTGGATTCGTGGATTATGCACTGAGAAGCTGGGAATAAGCTGTCGTCCGTGAAAAACAATGGAGCAATACATCGATACAGTTACTTCCAGGTACCAGAGGAGACAGGTACTCCGTCTTTCCGGGCCTGCAACCAGGGGGCTAAGTTGCCAACATATCGAATTGTTTCCTGTTACGTCCGTGCTACCGCCTTTGACATGTCCTGAATGGCGCCCAAGCGTCCCCGATATAGTACCGGTTCGTGATGTTCATGTAGGCGGGCTGCCCGCAGGGGGCTTAAAGGGACCGCGACCCAAGCGAAAGATAAAAGGAAAAAGGAAAAAGAGGACCTCCAACTATTACTTAGCGTTGAGACCAGCAACGGATAGGCGGGGTGGTAAAGCTGTGGGTGTCAGCGGTGGGGTACCCACACGCTATGAACAATTTGTGGCAAACTGTCGTTGATCATGGGGCCCACAGTGGCAGCCAGCAGCGTCACCCGACAAAGATCCTTAACGAAACTATTCGTGCCAACATGCTGTTCCGTTGTGCGCCTCCTTCTTCTGTCCTCCTACAGTGCAACGCCTAACTAGGACGGACGACATCACCCTCCCTCCCTTAACCAGTTCGTGTGAGGCTATGTGAGAGGAGCAGTCTTCTCCCCACATCACAAAACAACAAGCAGCGTGTGACGCATCGGGACACAATCCTATCCTGATGATGGGGTGTTACACTGTGGGGGGGTCGTCCCGAGAAAGGACGAGCACCGGGGAACCCGAAACACAGCGCAGGGACGGGCGTCCGTCTGTTCCTCCGCGCGCGCCTCACTCCCTCACTCACGCCAGCAGGGGCGCTCTCCCAGCCCCTGGCTAGGCAACACAGCGACGCAGAAGACTGTCCCCACTAGAACACCAAAACAAGAACAAATAAAAAAACGCCACCGGGGGCAGGGGCTCTACTCAGGGGGCTCCACTACATACTCAAAAGCCGAAGCAAGGGAAAGACCTACCCAGGCCAGACACGACCCCTCAGAAGACTCTCCTAGCCAAGGGCACCCACGCAGCCCGCAAGGCAAGAGATACACAGAGGACTATCCTGTATGCCCTGTCGCATCCTGTTTTGTGACCCAGCATTACGCCTCCTAATGCACGCTGCCAGCCAGCAAAACATATGCGTATGTTCACAACTGCCTACACGAACCACAATTGCTGGGCATATATGAAGGAATCACAATTGCTCCATCTGGCACACATGAAAACGATGTTCGGAAAACATGCTTACCAGATTGGAGCTCAACAGGCAACTATGCATAAGCCGGCTACTAAACTGCATACAGAGCCATGCCGATACCAGCAACAGTAGTTTAATTCGGTTCTTGTTTCATCATTATCCATTTGGGCGCTTACAATAATATACATCAAATAAAAGTAGAGACAAACATCCTACATTTTTCCACAACCTGCGGGAAAGAATGTTTGCCCTCACTAGTGCCATGCTCAATTATTAGGCAATCTGCCTTGGGCGGCGGCACACAAACCTCACGTCCTGCTGGCAGCCCTGCATTTGCAAGGTCCCGTCCGCAGCCATGAGCGGGCAGTACTGGTCACTGTCGGCGCGCTTCAGCCAGCAAGTGAATTGATTGGCTGCGCAAAGCCGCCGTACAGCGTCGTACCCCGTGTTATCCGTGTACGGCACCAAGTCCCAGCCTGCTCCCAGGCCCCCGCAGTAGGCCGCAGCACCGCTGTGTGTCAAGCGCTGTTTCGCATCCACCGTATACATGCGGTATTCGAAGCCAGCGTCCATCAAGGTCAACACGTTGTCCCCTGTATGTATGTTGTTACAGGGTGGTTAACTTCGCCAGCGGCCCCCTTTCCCGGGGCAGTCCCTGCTCTCCCCTGCTAGAGGGGCACCCTAATCCGTCACCCCATCCGACTTCAGAATGTATTCGTTGGGTTCGGCAACTCACCACCAGCATCCAACCAAATCTAGCGGATCAAAGGCGCATCAACTTACTTCCTAGTTAGCTCGCAAGTTGATTATGTACGTGTATGTATGTACGTATGTACGTATGTACGTATGTACGTATGTGTAAATTAACAAGGGAATGATTAGAATCAAGTTGCTGGATCACATTTCGACAGTTTTCACCGACGTGGATGGATAGCATATGCTATCGAGCGAGTTACCAGGAAATGAAGTAGCCCAACACGCACCTCCCGACAGCTCCCCCCCGGCCAGCCTCCCACCCTTGTGGAACCAGGTCCCCACCCCCACCCCCCCCACCCCACCCCCTTTCACTCGTTCATGGTTCGTCTTTTCCCCCCCCCCCCCTTTCACCTGTAAGCGCCGATCCTGCGGGACCCGAGCAAGCTGTGTAATATTTGCAGCCGTTGCAAGCTGCGTGGCACCAATTGCTGTACGGCCGGCCCTGCTCGTCACACACCCAAACCAACCAATTCGGATACATCAAGTCGCATGTGGCGTCGCAACCTGTACGATACGATAGCAGCAGTAGTGGAAATGTGACGCACTTAGCGGATGACGGTTGAAAAGGCGACACACTTGGCGGTTATAATAATGAGCAGGTAATCTCAAATCCTACTACTCGCTCGTTCATGCACGGAACGGTGGTGTCAGTTCTTAGTAGTGCGACTAGGCGAGCATGCGGGTAACATGCGCGGGTCAGTAACATGGCGGTGACGGCGTTACTGTCAATATATACGGGCACGTGTACACCGGCCGTTGTGCGGGTGATATGGATAATGATCAGCGCTTCTTTGCAGCCTGCATGGGAAGGCCGTAGGACGATGCCAGGGACGGCGTTTGGCGGATGATGTGTGCCGGCATGACGTGAGCCGGCCTGACTTGTTGACCAGTAAAGCCGCGGGTGCTAGCTAGCTACGGGCGTTACGTGTTCGTGAGTGATGTCGCGTCGTTCGGATCTGGATTCTGAATTCTAGATTCCAGTTCTGGATTTTAAAATCGTGGTGGCGAAGGAGCTACCGTGCAGTGTGAGAACAGCGGGGGAGGGGGACGAAGGGTTTGGCGGGGTCGGTATGCTCCCAAGGGAAACATGGCGTTTGCAGGGGGGTCATGTGCTACACGACACTGCAGATTGACAATCGACGACTTACTTGCGGTCGCGGGAGGCGGCGGAGGCTCTGGGGAGGGTGGAGGAGGTGGTGGCGGTAACGGTGACGGCGGGCACTTGCTATCTGCACGATGTGACGACAGTAAGCCAGTACGATGGTGGGGTACGAGGGTATGGCAGAGGCAGATTGAGCAGGGCGAAGCGCCCGCTGGGTTGGGATTAGGTGAAAAAGCTCCGAAACGGTACTCAGTTGGATTCGAAGGTCAAAAAGGTCGTCAAGGTCCGCACGCAGGTTACGTACGCAGCATGTTAGTATGACTAGTACGGCGGTTCGAGGTGAATCCAATGAATCCAGAATAACGAGATTCAGTTCACAACCAAGCTCCCCTCGGGGGGGAAGGGGGATGACAAAACCGCTTTTTAGTTTTTAGTCCAGCGTCCCCTCTTCCATTGGAGCAGAATTGATAATCTATGGATATAAACTTACCCGTTGTACGGCACACCCATCGTACAGATTGTTGGCAGGACTGTTGTACAATCTGCCCACTCGCAGTCATGAGTGGACAGAAATCGGTGTCTGATTTAGCTCCAGTCCAGCACGTGAAGCTATTTTGTGAGCAACAGAGCTCAGACAAACCAGCTGGGGGGGGGGGGGTGAGGGGCAGTGGATGAGCTGGGCTGGGTTTAGGGAGCAGTGTTTTTTTTTCGTTTTGGGCCTAGTACCCTAGAGTAATAAACTGGGTGTTTCTTGCGGTTACAACTCCTATTTGTATAGTCGCTGGGGGGGCTGCGCCCCCCCAGACCCCCCCCCCAAAGGCCTTACGGTGTGCTGTAAACAATACCTGACGTCTGGAAACACACGTGCCGTACCACCATCGTTCTGTGCACCTAACTGCATTATAACTTGTCTTCTGTATTATCTAATTCTTCTTCTAAATGTTTGGGGCATTGCGTCTGCGGAGTTTCTGAGCCGTTTGCTTTGGTCAAGAATGAACGAATGCCCCGTTGACCTAAGTTGAATGCAACAGCGGGCCGTCTCATGGTGATATCATCAAATATCTTATATATAAATAGTGTATAAGCTCCAAATGGTCAGCTTTATGTGCAGAAGGCATTTGGGGCGACTTATGGCCGAAGTAATGAACCAGTACGGCCAACTGACCCAACGATTCCATTTCTTCCAGGCTCAGACCCCCATTTATTCCCCAAAAAGTAATATATTACCAAAAAAACACTGTTAGGGAGGAGGGGCTCCGAATATTAGGGTTTGGTAGAACACGTCATCGTACGGCAATCCAAGTAGTTCTAAACAAAGATGCATATATCTGAATCGGGATATCTATCATAATGATGGTGTGTTGATGCAATCCGCTAAACAAAGGTGACGTGCCAGTAAGTTTAAAGCAGAGTTTATAAAACCTCCGGGCTATAAAAAGACACACAGAACTGCTAGCGCACCTCTTCCAGCATCCTCCGTGTACGGCACCAGCTCCAGCCCCTGGCTGTCGCAGATGTCCCCCGCCGTGTACCAGTCGGTCATGCATACGGCATCCATGTCGTACAATGTGTACGTCTTGCAGTCCTTGGGGTTTGTGTAGTTTCGGGTGCGGTACGAAGTCGTGTAGGGGTTACAGGAGGGTGGTGGGAGAGGAGGTGGAGGTGGAGGCCGCGGTGAAGGCGGTGGTGGTCTGGGTGACGATGGGGATGGCGACGGTGGCAGCATTGAAGGCGGCCGCGATGACGGCGGTGGTGGCGACGGCGGGGCCGGTGACGGCGGTGGTGGCGACGGCGGGGCCGGTGACGGCGGTGGTGGCGACGGCGGTGGTGGCGATGGCGGTGGTGGCGATGGCGGTGGTGGCGATGGCGGTGGTGGCGACGGCGGTGGTGGCGGTGATGGCGATGGGGGTCGCGGAGACGGTGGCAGCGGTGACGGCGGCGGTGGTGGAGGCGGCAGTGGTATCGGGGGTGATGGCGACGGCGGCAGTGGTGATGGCGGTGGTGGCGACGGCGGGGGCGGTGACGGCGGCGGTGGCGACGGCGGTGGTGGCGACGGCGGTGATGGCGATGGCGGAAGCGGTGACGGTGGCAATGGTGATGGCGGAAGCGGTGACGGGGATGACGGCGACGGCGGTGATGGCGACGGCGGTGATGGCGATGGAGGTAGCGGTGACGGTGATGATGGTGATGGAGGTAGCGGTGATGGTGGTACTGGTGACGGCGGTCGGGGCGATGGAGGTGATGGCGACGGCGGTGGCGGTGTAGGTGGTGACGGCGACGGCGGTGACGGCGACGGCGGTGATGGCGACGGCGGTGATGGCGACGGCGGTGATGGCGACGGCGGCATAGGTGACGGTGGTGACGGCGACGGCGGCATAGGTGACGGCGGTGGTGGCGATGGAGGCAGGGGGGACGGCGGCGGTGGCGATGGCGGTGATGGTGATGGCGGCCGAGGTGAGGGTGGTGATGGTGATGGCGGCCGAGGTGAGGGTGGTGATGGTGACGGTGGACGCGGTGATGGCGACGGCGGTGATGGCGACGGTGGTGATGGCGACGGTGGTATTGGTGACGGCGGCCGCGGCGATGGCGGTGGTGATGGCGACGGTGGTATTGGTGACGGCGGTAGTGGCGATGGCGGTGGTGATGGCGACGGTGGTATTGGTGACGGCGGCCGCGGCGATGGCGGTGGTGATGGCGACGGTGGTATTGGTGACGGCGGTAGTGGCGATGGCGGTGGTGATGGCGACGGTGGTATTGGTGACGGCGGCCGCGGCGATGGCGGTGGTGATGGCGTCGGTGGTATTGGTGACGGTGGCGGTGGCGATGGCGGTGGTGATGGCGACGGTGGTATTGGTGACGGCGGTAGTGGCGATGGCGGTGGTGATGGCGACGGTGGTATTGGTGACGGCGGCCGCGGCGATGGCGGTGGTGATGGCGACGGTGGTATTGGTGACGGCGGTAGTGGCGATGGCGGTGGTGATGGCGACGGTGGTATTGGTGACGGCGGCCGCGGCGATGGCGGTGGTGATGGCGTCGGTGGTATTGGTGACGGTGGCGGTGGCGATGGCGGTGGTGATGGCGACGGTGGTATTGGTGACGGCGGCCGCGGCGATGGTGGTGGTGACGAGGGGGGTCTTGGTGACGGCGGCGGTGGCGATGGCGGCGACGGCAGCGGTGGCGGTGGCGGTGGTAGCGATGGCGGCATCGGTGACAGAGGCCGCGGTGATGGCGGCAGCGGCGACGGCGGCGACGGCGGCAGAGATGATGGTGGCGGCGGTGCCGGCGAAGGTAGCAACGCGGTGCAGAATGACGACGGCAACTCTGGAATACGGCAGTACGAACCAGGTACGACGGCAGGGGTAGCGTCAATGCACGCGAGGAGGGGCTCCAAAGGGGACAGCGGAACTGCTGCGTGATCGCAGGGGAAGGGAGGGTAGGCACTGCCAACCCTAACGACCATACGATAACAAGAGGACGTTAGCAAACCAATTCAACTAAATATGTGAAGACGGCAAATCAGACATAAATCTGTGTCTAGTCTGGTGACACCTTTGCGTTAGATGAATGCTCTGGGTTCGATTCCAGGGCAGACCCCCGACATTAATCCGGAGAATATGGAGAATTACAAATAGCAGCTAAGGTATGGAGTTGACGTCTAGTTGATGGACTAAGTTTCGCATGCTGAGATGGTGGTGATGGCTGATCTGTGTCTACGGATGTCGGGTGACTGGATGAGGAGGGGTCTAGATGGCAGGACCCAAACCGCCGTCGGTCGTACGGTGTAATCAACTTTTTATATGTATAGTCCATGGCCTCCCGGCTTTGACTTACATCCCCGCGTTCGTGCGGAACTTGAAACTTGTAAACATAAATGATTGACAACAGGTGGTGCATGACGGCGGCCCAACCTTCCTCCTGATTTGTACGATAACTTCGAGTAGTACGGCAACTCGCCGCGTCCCGCGCAGCCCCAACCCTCCCCGCATCGCCCGACGATTCCCCAACCAGCACGCAAGTGATAGGAGTGAGGAGTTTTAGCCGTACTGTGCTTATCCATGCATCCGTACCTACCATTCCTGGTACGGCACACCCATCGTACAGATTGTTGGCAGGACTGTTGTACAATCTGCCCACTCGCAGTCATGAGTGGACAGAACTCGGTGTCTGATTTAGCTCCCGTCCAGCACGTGAAGCTATTTTGTGAGCATAGCCTGGTCAAGCCACCTGTATGTACGGGTGTGTAGAGATGTATGTATGTGTGTTTCTCGTGTTAGTTGCGTGGTAATGGTGGGGTGGCCCTGCCGTAGGGCCCGACCATTGATTGCGGCAAAGGCTGCGAGGACCACAACGAATAGGGAATAAGAAGAATGGCTTTTGCAAATAATCTAGTGGAAAACTAGAAACCGAACATTGCGCCAGTTCATTGCAAAATGCAAGCAAAGCCCGTTTGTATGTTCAGTACTCCAGTCTGGGTGGGATAGGAATCCCAGCAAGACTGGACCCCAGCAAGATCCAATTTAGAAGAGACCAGCCACAAGAGATGCTGCAAAAAAACAATGTCATGGCGATGCGATGCAGCAGAATTATGAAATGAAATGGCGAGCACAACACTTACTCATGCCAGCATCCTCCGTGTACGGCACCAGCTCCAGGCCTTTGCTCCCACAGAAGTCCCTTGCCGAATACCAATCGGCCATGCATAACGCTGCCGTATCGTACAGCGTGTAGTTTTTGCAGTCAATTGGATTAATGTACGTCTGAGTACGGTACGGTGCCGTATAGGGATTGCAGGAGGGTGGTGGTGGTGGCGGTGAAGGACGCTTGTAAACTGCGAACGGAGCAATGTGCGGAGGCGGTGGTGGTGGTAGTGCAATCGCATTATGTGGTTATAAGGTAAAAGGAAAGCGCGGAGTGGAGCGGGACGGAGTAAAGGAGCATTGGGAGTTACGTACTTATACGCCGGGCGAGAAAGAGGTTTCTGGGGCGCCTAATTCACAGGGATGGTGTACGACATGGTTGCTAGCAAATGCCCTGCACACCGATCTCGTACATAGATTGGGAAAAAACACATCTTCACACACGCACGCACACACGCACGCACAAACAACAAACAACAAACAACAAACAACAAGCAAAGTACCTGTAACACGGATGGAAATTGAAGTGCTTAAAATTACTCACTCGTAGTACGGCATACAAATCGTACACGTTGGTCGCATGTCTGAAACAGTACGGCACCCTCCTGGCTAAGCAGTGGACATAATCCGGCCGGCTTATTACCATCGGCCCAGCAGGTGAACTTGTTACTCGTGCACAGGTTTTGAAGGGCGCCTGTGACCCACACGAAATCGAGGGACATGGTAACCCACATGTGGGTGCAGGGAGTGAGGTGAAAATAGTAGATGATACGTTCATTCGAAGTTTACACATGTAAATGGCACAGGCTAGGTGGTATCTTTACTGTCAAACTACAGAAAGCTTCTCGCTTCTGTGGGCGCGTGCGAGTTTTCGTTTTGCGACATTTGGAGTGCTGCGCGATCATTTATCAAAGTCTTCTAATCCTGAAAGAATTGATAGGATATTAACCTTCGTTGGATAATATAATCGCTATCAAGCAGGTCGTTCACATCTTCGCAAAAGAAGGTAACGACTACGGACGTATTTCATCCCACCGTTTGATGCGTCTGAATCCCAAGGCGCCAGCTCCATGCCCCGATTTTCGCAAAACGTCTTGGAGGTGTTCCAGTCCGGCATGCACCCCGCATTCACATCGTATAGCGTGTACGTGCGACCCTCGTACGGGCAGGTGTACGAAATTGTGACGTACGAAAAGGTGTTGGGGTCGCATGTCGGTGGAGGGGGAGGGGGAGCTGCCGTCGTGCCCGGGCTCGGCGGCGGCGCGGGCGGCGGTGGGCAGGCCTCGTAGATGGTGATGTTGGGAGATTGGCACATCATGTAACAGGCGTTGTACCACATTCGTCCGTTGCAGCATACCGGTGCGTAGTTGGACGAGCATCCGTCCATGCAAGATAAAACTGGACGGACTAGCACCATCCACAGCAGGCAATAGCACAGTGATGCTGGCAAGAGTAGCACCGCTCGTTGACCAGTTCGAAATGGCTGACGCCGTAAATTAAAACTGCTGTGTTGGGTTGTAGATGTCATCTTGGAAATTCTTCCTTTGAAAACTGCTTATCGGTCAGCGGGACAGACCAAATTTGGCGCTATATGTGTAATGGAGCTGGAAAGGACCTTGCTGGAAGGCTGAGTCTGTCCGAAAGAGCTTCACAGCGCAACGGACGATTGGTGATAGTCCGCAGGATGGCCAGGTAGACCGGAGACGACGACAAGCCAAACTGAGCCAAGCAAGAAAAACCTCCAATTAAAGCGCGCTGCGGCCTGTTAGAAGCAAAAACATGATGAGACGGACATATCATTAAATAAATTATATAAAATATATTTGGTAGTTAAGTTTATAAATTCATGGCGCAGTGCTTCCCGAGTTGGAGAGAGCGCAAAATTGCCCGGAAGCGGTTTTAACAACAGTACGTAAGGACCAGCAACCAAGACTCGTGATAACAACCGGAATGCGATGCCGCTGCGATGCGAACTCACTGCCGTTAAGCTTGTGCTCCGAGCTATCCGCAGCAGGCAGCAGGGGACGGACCACAATCGGCTGAAGTTGAACAGCGCAAATGGAAGCCACCGCTTAGGCCTAAACTCCGCAAGGGTTTCTCTCCTGTTTTGCTCTGACAGCGCCCAAAGTCAGCGCACGATGCACTCAATTCAATCCCTGCTGGCTTCCAAGCCGCTTGCTACTGTCGGCGCTAGTTAGCAAGAAGGTTGAAAGACCTCCGACAGCGGTGCCACCTAGAGGTCCGTCCGTGGGATGAACACAGCGGCGCGCACGGCGCAGTTAGCTGTATACAGAAGTTACCCATAAGGGGCCGGCTAGAATGTTGCCAGTGTTGAGCGAGGCCGCTGCCCAATCCTTAAATGGTCTGTCGAGGTGCGGCAGAGATACGGACGGTTCTGGAGCCAGGATCTCGTGCCCCTTGGCAAACGTAATAGTACGGGATGGTTTAGAGTATGCACGGCGAAATTCGTGCAAGCGAGATGCCGCAACTTGACAGAAATAAAAATAGCGTCGACTCAGAGTTTGTCGCTTTCTGTTAAGGAACATCCTACCTGCATTGTGATTTCCCAAAACCCTTCCAACAAGCACGATTACCTAACAAATCATTTCGCGAATTTACTTGGTGAAGTGATCATAAAGTGCTTTCCGGCGCGCTTTTTCCTTTATTTCGCCATGCACTGTGCAGTGTGGCTATTATCTCCCTGATAGCAGGAATAACTTTCAGGAAGGTTTTATAATCTTGGTAGTAAGCCCACATGCCAAAAAACTCCGTTCAGCATCAGGAATATGTCTGAGCCGTTGAGCTGGCCTTCAATTGTTTCCAACTCTTCGACTGCCGAGATCCCGCTAGCCAGCCAACATCTTGACAAGTTCCGTGTGTATATGTGCGCGTGTGTGTATGTATGTATGTATGTGCGCGTTTTTTTATTGAGAGCCACATGTGTGTCGGCTCACGGGTTCCTGCGTGCGACGCATTATCCGGGTCGCCGCCCCGTATCGAATTTCATTCATCGTTGCTTTACCTGATGTGCGCTGTGACCGGTAGGGCATACTAAGACAGAGCACCGGCGCTGCTCACTCGGAAAGTGACCCTCCTGCCCTGCACGCAGTTACCCGCAGCGGCCTTGGGGCTTCAGAGCTCCGCTGGTTCGTGTCCAGCCCCCGCTTGGCGGGCCACGCGGACAGTCAGGGAGAAGTCGCCACATGCAGATATTCACCCAGTTTACCAATTACCGCGTGACCGGTTCCACGCCCCCGATCATCAGCCCCCTTACCATCTGACCGTCGGCCGGATCGCCACGGCGGACAAAAATGCGGATCGCCACGGGTAACCTAATCTTTGATAAGTTAAGTCTTCATAATAATAATAATAATATTACTTGTTTCTTCATGAATACGGCTTAACGCTTTACGGACCTGACGGATACATGAAAACAGATGAAAACTAACCACCATATAAATAAATGAGCTTTTCAAATAAAGCCCATTTTCCGTACTCATGCAGCTTATAAGACTGCATTACGCGGTAGGCCAGATGTAAGGCAAAATCGACTGCTAATCAACTGCGAAGCCCTTGTGCCATGAGTGCCAGGGAATCTATGTGTACGGAACATGTATGGGGACATGGTCGCAGATGAGGGGGCGTGTGCTGTTGGCTTGCACAGGATTGTATTCACACATGTCGGTATTCTGCTTCTGCAGCAGTCTTCTTTCAAACGGTGTCTCCATTCCTCGTTTACGGTAATGCAACCGTGTGCTTTAAAACTGACACGCCGGACCACCCCCAAAAACCAAACGCCCTTTCATGTCTCTTCCCTACCATCACCATCATCATGTGGGTATTAGCAACCCCCCACCACACACATACACACATACACACGCACACACACACACACACGTCCTCTTTTCCCTCCCGCCAAACTTCACCCCCCATCCACCACACCCTCAGATTCATGCATCACAGGAAAGGTGCCGTTGCCATCGCCCTATAATTGCAGACACTCCCAACCAAAGCCATATGCCTGGTCCAGATCATATGCTTGGTCCAGACCATATGCCTGGTCCAGACCATATGCTTGGTCCAAACCATATGCCTGGTCCAGACCATATGCCTGGTCTGGTCGACACTACTGTCTTCTACAGTTTTTTAAGGTCCTGGGTTTGATTCCTGGGGAGACCCCCGATATTGTCGGGAGCGTGAGATTATGGCTAGCTGCTGAGATGTGGAGTTGAAGTGACAGTTGATGGATCGAGATTCGCACGCTGGATTGTTGGTGGTTGCTGAACCCTCTGTCTCTGCAGATGTTCGGGTGACTGGATGACGAGGGATCCTAGAAGACAGGATCAACTGCCTTGGACTTGCAGTTCGTATGGCGTAGTACAGTGTGGTAATGGTGGATGGTGCTGTATGGTGTGATAAATCGTAGACTTGACAATATGTTCAAATGGCCCAGAAGCCTCCCACTCTGTAACAATTCAAAATTCAATTCATATGCCTGGTCCATGGCAAACAATGACGATGCATAAGCAGGAATAATGCCCCAGCCGCTCCCACAGTAACAGGTAGGCACAGAGACGAACATGTACGTCATATAGTGACAGGAAATGTTCGTGATTTTATTGTTCGAGACACCCTCAAATTACACCCGAAAATATTGGTGAAACTTTTGAATTCGTGAGAAGCCAACGCAACCGAAGCAACGGTGCCTGCAATATTCGTTAATGGGTCCGACTCAGAACGCCGATTGACGCAAAAGCTGGCAAATGCATGCACGGTTATTCTGCTCACCAGCAAACACCAGATTCCAGTGACATGGCACGCGAACCACGTGAAAAGCATGCAGGTATTGTCTCTTCCGCAGCCCTCCCCCCGTACAACTCCCCGTGGCAAATCTCGTATAACTTGTCATTTACTACCGGAAGCAAACGATCTTTGACGCATAGAATCCAACGGAATAAAGCGTGGCTGTGCGCTCAACTTCATCAACTGTCCGCTTAACTCCCTAGCTCTCTGAACTGCTTTAGTGTGCGTAGTCGGCGAGGTGCGCGGGGGCCCTCAACTGCCAGCTGGCCGTTCGCCTCAGCTCAGCGTAGAGCACTCGCGCATATCTTCCCCGTCGCTCTCCCCATCGCTGTCCTCGTCACTGGGATCCTCCTCCTCTTCTTCCTCCTCCTCCTTGCCTTCCCCCTCCTCCTCCCCTGACTCCCCTTCCTCCGACTCCCCTTCTTCTGACTCCTGCTCCGCCGAGCCCCCTTCCTCCGAATCCTCCTCTCCCACCTCCGCATCCTCCTCCACCTCGAAATCACACCGCGCCCGCTTGACCCCGCGGCCCCGCCCACGGCCCCGCCCACGGCCTTGCCCGCGGCCCCGCCCACGGCCTCGCCCGCGGCCCCGCCCACGGCCTCGCCCGCGGCCCCGCCCACGGCCTCGCCCAGCAGACCCCCGGCTGCTTCCGCCCCTGCCCCGGCCCCGGCCATGCATGCTCGCTGCACCACCATCGTCGAAGTCGATGGTGAAGCGGCTCTTGACAGACCGCGCGGATGCACGCACAGCCTGTTTCTCTTCGTCTGTCATGACCTCATACGCATGTTGAAGCTCAGTGAAGTGCTGGTCCAACTTGACCAGCATGGCCTCATCATCGCCGTCGTCATCATCGTGCATGATGTACGGGCTGGGGTCATTGGTGTCGCAGTTCTCGTCAGCAGCCGGTGTGGACGTGGGCTCAGCCGGGGGGCCTGTGTAGCCCGTCATGCCAGCAGTTACTGCGGCAGCTGTCGCCTGGGCCTCATGGTGGCTGACGGCCGGCGGAAAGAGGCCAGCCTCGCCCTGGTCCAGCACCTTGCGAGTTGCCTCGTCGATGACTGGATGGTCCCACGCGCGGAGAATGGTGGCGTTAGACCAGGCGTTAGTAACCAGGGCCTTGTTGCTGGCGAGATGCTGCCACGCGGCCAGGAGGAGGGTGCAAATCAGGGACTTCATGGTCGCAGTCCGCAGATTCACCTCGGCCTCGATAGGCGGAATCCCTGCTCGCATCATCTGCGCCACAAGCTCCCTGAAAGCGAGGGCCCCTTCCGTGCGGTACTGGTCCTTGAACGGCTTCTGAAGTCCGGTGTCGGCGGGCTGCAGCTTGGAGGTGCAGTTGGCAGGGACGTACTTCACCATGGCACCCGCGCATGTGGTCTTGAGGTGGCTCTGTGGAAGGCAAACGGGCATGGAAGGGATCCTTTCACCAACAGGACGCGGACTGATGTTATGAACAGCTAAAACCGCCCTAAATGGAATAAGTAGGAAAGCCATGTGAAGGTCAAGCGTTATCTTACTAGAACCCATCATACTGAGCTCACCTGGAAGGCCTCCGAAAGGTGCACCTGCCAGCAGTCCAGGATGAGCATGCAGGGATGGTCAGGCGGAAGGCCGAGCTTCTCCTTCGCACGGGTGAAGTACGGTAGGAGCACCTTGTCGATCCAGCGCAGCATGAGCTCCTCGTTGGACCAGTGGTTGGGCGAACAAGCCAAGTCGGCGCCAATGCCCTGCAAGCCCTCGGAGTACTTCTCCTTAGGTGGCGAGCGCTCGGTCTTGCCCTGCATGGGATGATGGGAAAACAAAGTACAGGTGAGGCCAGGCAGCAAGAAGACTAAGAAGACCCACGCGCAATTCTGCGGGTATGACCCGCCGGAGATCCAAGGGAAAGCAAGGGACTCTCCCAGCTACTTCTGTGCAAACTTAGCCACTGCTCCGTCGTAAGCATCTTCCGTCTTCTATCTGTTCGTCTGACCGTACGTCCTCCATACACCCCTTAGGCTCTTGGGAATGGCGGTCGTGCTGGTGTGCTGTGGTTGCGCGGATAGCCTATGACACCGGCGGGGGGAGTGCGGCTGCTGCTTCAGCACCTGCTAGCGGTGCGCTGTCTGCCGGCAGTGTGCTACAGGCCAATCGGAGACCGATGGCTGGAGGTGATGCTGAGCCATGGCCATTGTGATTCCACATGATGCTTGCAGTAGGAAAGGTTATGACTGTGGCAATGTTACAAGTTACAAGATACAAGTGCCGCACGAGTGTGGGGGGGTCCGTAAAAGCCGGAAGGCCATGGACTATATATATTGAAAGATGATTACACCGTACAACTGACGGCGGTTTGAGTCCTGCCAACTACACCCCTCCTCATCCAGTCACCCGACAGCCGTAGAGACAGATCAGCCATCACCACCATCTCAGAATGCGAAACTTAGTCCATCAACTAGCCCTCATCCCCACACCTCAGCAGCGTTAGTAAACCTAGACCTCCCGACCTAGACCTCCCGCTATTTGTAATTCTCCAAACTCTCCGGATTAATGTCGGGGGTCTGCCCTGGAATCGAACCCAGAGCATTCATCTAACGCAAAGGTGTCACCAGGTACAGATGCCCTTCCTTGGCCCGTACGTGTTCAATGTGGATGCTGTGGATTCCAACCCCTGCGCATGGCATGGCCGCGGCGGCCTCACGGTTGGCTAGCGCCAAGTGTCCATTACAGGGCACACGTTGCTTTTACAATGCCAAGCCTTTATTACAGCCAAATCTTTGTTTTCTTGAGTAATTGCCTTACCGCTTAGGGGTCGTTCAGACGGAGGGGTACCTGCAGGCAGGAAAGTTAGTGCTTGCTTCCGTGGGAGGGGGCGAGCCTGGTTACCGAGCGACTCTGCTTCTGAAGCCTGTAGATTAGGCAGAAGCCGCAGCGGAAACCTGTCAGTATGAACTCGCTATGAACTCGCGAACTTGCTCTTTCCGTCGCACTCCTGCGACTTATTCTAGCCCTGTACGGTCCAGCCGTACACACCACGGACATTCAACCGAGTACACGCTCGGCAAATACACAGAAAACTTTGGTTTTCTTTCGTTTCGCTCATAAAGCCTACAGTTACAGGCGCGATATCTGACGCGCAGCTCCACCTCCGCATGCCTGTTTTTTTCAAGGTCTGTGGCGTCAGCTTCACCCGGCTGCCTTGACTGCTGCTGCAGCAGGCGGGCAGGGACATGGATGGGTCCCTACTGACTGGACTCCGCTACACCGCTCTGACGGATTGAAGCAGCGGCCGAATCACCAGCTCTGTGCATTAGCTTAATCGGTCCTGCTGTAATAAGCTACTGCTTGGCCCCGACATTGCGGACCAGGAACAGCAAGTAGGTGCTTTCAGGGGGAGCAATGTGCTTCTAAATACCACCCCCCACCATCGAGCGCAAGCTTGGCCAAAGGAGTATTTTGCCGTGCACTCGTCCGTGGCCCATCCCTGTTGTTTCCATACCTTTCTCGGCCTTTTGGCTCAGATCATGTGTAGTATCTGTTCTTATTAGCTTAATCGCTAATATGGTCCTCATTGAGGACCTGCGATTAACTTGAATATTTCTCGGGGGCTTGTCAATGGTGCGCTTGCGCATCCGACTTGCCAGCATGGTTGCGGCCTTACACTACCGCTGCAGCCGTGCACCCGCCCATACGAAAATGTACAACTGGGCTGGAGGGTGCCGTGCGCTGCTGAGCTGTGCTGTGCTGATCGCTGTGCTGTGCTGATCGCTGTGCTGTGCTGTGCCCATCCATCTGCATGCTTGTAAACCCAGCTGTAAGCTCGTCCAACGTGTGCAGTACCTGACGTGCTCGTGGTAACCATTCCATCAGTCACCGCCCCGCGCCGCGTGNGAACGACTTCAATCAGGCATCGTACATTACTCGTACGACACCGTACGTACAGCAAAAGGAGGACCGAGCGGATTTGTGCACATGGCCTAGGTAATAGGGTGTGGCGGCCGCTTGATCATGACGCCGGTCGTTATTGGCATATGTAGAGGTAGGTACCCCGGTAGGTAAGTAGGT